GGGTCCTTGTTTGTGTAGTGAGTATTGGACTACTAACTGAAAGATCACTGGCTCAACCCCACTAGCCACTTCTACAAAGCTTCACAGCCTAAGAACCCCGTCAGGGTAGTTCTATCATCTCCTGTGTGGCACCATCAGCTGAACGGAAGTGGGTTGGTTTGCACACCGTTACTGTAATTTGCCTTCGGCTGCTAACTGAAAGCTTGGCAATAACAATTTCCCAATGGAGATGTGGAAGAAAGGCCTGGTGACCTATTTCCGAAAGACTACAGCCACCAAAAAGTCTGTGCAGTGGAGTGCTGCTTTCACATAAATGAGGTTGCTATTGGAATGATTCAATGGCAACAGTATTATTTAATGCATAGCCACAGAAGGGCACTTCATTAAATGTTGAATGAGGTGAAGAGGCGGGATTACTCTAACTTCCATTCCAGAGGACTTAAATGATGGAGCCAGACAAACAGTCAGCAGACAAAATACGAGCCTTTTCTTCATGGGGGTATGAGACCTCTGCATAGCACTAGCAGTGCTAATGTCTTACCCTGTCTATCATCTATGCTGTCCAGTTTAGCAGCAAACGGCCACGTGTGCCTGTTGAACACTTGAAAACGTGACTAGCATGATTGAAGGAGTGAATTTTTCTTTGATTTTAATGAACATTTAACCAGGCCTGTGGCTGGTAGCTCCCAGATGGCACAGTGCCGATCGCTGACCTGCTGTATTATTGGTTGGTAGGATTGCATAGCATGCCACTGCTGATCTTGTGCTTTGGGAGACTTAAGAAGCATTTCTTCTCTCTGTTCAGCTTTCCCAACAGCCAGAGATCCATGAGCTATTCAAACCAGCAGACTGAGAGAATGCTGCTGGCGAAGAAAAGCGCGTCTGTCCCTGCGCCCGCGGAGCTCTGGGCGGGCACAGAACACAGCTCTGCATCGTCAGGCATCTTGCAGTTCTCGAAGATTTGGAACGAGTCAGGCTTAGAAGCGCTTAAGGCAAAGTTAAGGGAAAGAATAATTCAGTGAACAAAAAGCATTTTAGACGAATTAAACGAGAAAATGAATAAATGACAGCGTGAACATGAGCTGTGAAAGTCATAGGTCATTCCATAATGCCCAGGCTTTGTCTATAAGAACAAATAAGCTTACGTTTTAAAAGGTCATTGCAAATCCTCTATGAATCACAATTTGCCCACAGGTTCTCCACTTTTTAATGGCGTTGTTTTCATTTCTTGTATTTCAGCCGCTTTTGACACGTGTCTTAGGGCTAAAGTGAAGGAGCGTGCTCTCAGGCATTACTGGAACCATGAGCGACCATGGCGCGAACTTAACCACTGGGCTC